CCTGACTCATGACTGGTGACCTCTCTTGATTCCTAACTCCATGACTGGTAGCTTTGTGATGCTTGAGATCAACCCAAGATTCATGTCCTCAGAACTCCCTGTCATGTGATCCTTTTGATGTGACCCTCACTGCCCCAAAGGACTGTGACCCCATGACCGCCCCATGACCATCTGCTCCTCTCTGTTTGGGGAGCCCTTAGGGTACCTCCTGGAGCGGAAGAAGAAGGGGTCTCACCGCTGGATGAAGCTGAACTTTGAGGTCTTCACAGAGACAACTTATGAATCCACCAAGATGATTGAGGGTGTCCTCTATGAGATGCGGGTCTTTGCCGTCAACGCTATTGGAGTCTCTCAGCCCAGCATGTACACCAAGCCCTTTATGCCTATTGGTAAAGCCTCCTGGACCTTTCACTGAGCCTCTGACCTATACTCTGCTCGACGTTGATCTCTGACCCTACGCCTTTGTCCCCACAGACTCTGCTGACTTCTGATCCCTTTTATCCAACACCCAACACATTGGCCCCTGACCCCACACATGCCCCTGGTCTCTTCCTGACCCACTACATTAACTACGATCTCTAGGATCCTAGACTCTGTGCTGATGCCTGAATACCTCATTAGCCTCTGACCTACCAGGCTAACACCTACCGCTGACCTTGGAGACTTCACTGTCCTCCCTTGATATTTTGATGTTTAATGACCCTGAATGATGTTTCCTTACTCATTGACTTCCAGCCCACCATACTGATCCCTTTCTTGATCAGTGACTCCACCTCTGACCCCTGCCCCTTGCTGCTGACCCCTAGCCTCTCATTTATCCCCATTTCCCCTTTCACTGGATCCTTACAGCACCCACAAGTGAACCCCTGCACCTGACGGTGGAGGATGTGACAGACACCACCACCACACTCAAGTGGAGGCCTCCAAATAGGATTGGGGCAGGCGGCATCGATGGGTACCTGGTGGAGTACTGCCTGGAAGGCTGTGAGTGACCCTGCTAGGCCAGTAGGGGGGTGGCCTACACAGAGCCCCATGGGGTGTACAGTCCAGGGAACTGGAAACGGGGCCATGCAGAAAGGGATGTCTGGTGCAGTGGCTGCCCTTGTTCCGTGTCTGTACTGGCCTGAATCCCATGGGATGGAATGAGTCAAGTCAGACCCCAAGTGACCAGCTCATCCTCTCTCCCTTCCTCCTTCCCTCCCCAGCATCTGTCCGCTGTACAGCAACGACTTTCATCCATCCGTCCTTCCATCTATTCTTTCTTCCTTCCTTCTATCCATCCATCCACCCACCCATATTTCCTTCCTTCCTTTTCCCCTTTTACTTCTCTTTCTCATGCTCCCTTCCCTCTTTCCCTTCCTCCCTCCCTTTCTTTCTTCCTGCCAGCCATCCGCTTGCCTGCCCAGTCATCCATCCATCCTTCCATCTCTCTGAAAATCTTTTTCATCATCTGACTATCCACCCATACGGTAGTACTTTTCTATCCATGTATTTATTGCTTCACCTCCATCTTTCCTTCCCTCCTTCCATCCACTTGTATGACCATCCAACCGTCTGTCCATCTAGCTATCCATTCTCTCTCCGCCTGTCTATCCATCATCCACATTTCCATATACCCAAGCCTCCATCCTCCTCTGCATGAACATTCACCGCGTGCTGACTGCATGCCAGGACCAGTGCCGTGGCTATGGACATGTTGCTGACACGGTCATCTCACAGGGATGCCAGAAGTGATCACCTCAAAACCATGTCGTAGGCCTTAAAGTCAGGCAGACGTGGGTTCCAGTCCTGCCCCAACACTTTCTGTGTGACCTTCGCCAAGTCTCTGAGCCTCAGTATCTTCATCTAAAAATGGCGAGGACAGTTTCCATCTTGACAGGGTACAGTGAGGACCGCATTGGATAGTGCATGGAAGTGCTGGGTGGGTGAGCTGTTGTCGGCTTTCCCCCTCTTTCTCATCCCAGCTCTCTCTACCCCTTTCCTACCCTGGCTGAGCCCTCCCTCACACGTGCCAAAGCCACTCTGATGTTTCAGAACCAGTCTTGTTAGGGTTCACTCTATTGATGGTTGGTCTGACCCACATTGGTTCACCAACCCGTGGTCATAAACACAGCACAGAAAGGCATGTAACCAAGAGGCAAGAAATCCACTGGGTTCTGACCACCACCTGCAACTCACTCTCCCGGACACACCTGGATGCTTGCTCCCCAGCCTCCCCCTGCTGCGCCCTCAGACAGAGCCATTTTCCCTGTTCCTCTGTACCGACCGTGGCAGTAGAGAAGAGCATAAGAGCATTCTGGAGTCAGACAGGCTTGGATTCTAATTCCTAGCCCACCACGTTTGAGCTTTGTGACCTTGACAAGTTCCTTAACCTCTCTGGGCCTCAATTTCCCATCCCTAGAATGGGGAGAACATAGGGTTGAGGTGAGAATTAATGAGCTAACACATATGCCAACCTTAGAACCCAGTCATAAAAAATGCTTAACAGGGCCGACCCCGTGGCTCACTCGGGAGAGTGCGGCGCTGGGAGCGCAGCGTCACTGGGAGCGCCGAGGCCATGGGTTCGGATCCTGTATAGGGATGGCCGGTGCGCTCACTGGCTGAGCACGGTGCAGGCGACACCAAGCCAAGGGTTATGATCCCCTTACAGGTCACAAAAAAAAAAAAAATGCTTAACAAATGTTAGCTGCTGCTGCTGCTCCTGCTGCTGCTGAGTATTAACTCAGTAATCATTGTGGGGGAACCCAAGTCACTGGAAGGGACAGCGAGCTGAGGGCTTGCTTAACAAATGTTAGCTGCTGCTGCTGCTCCTGCTGCTGCTGAGGATTAACTCAGTAATCATTGTGGGGGAACCCAAGTCACTGGAAGGGACAGCGAGCTGAGGGCTAGGAGGAAGGCCATGGGATCTACCAGCATGGCTCCTTTCTCATAGCTGAGGAATGGGTCCCTGCTAACACCGAGCCCATGGAGCGATGTGGCTTCACCGTCAAGGATCTCCCAACAGGAGCGAGGATCCTCTTCCGGGTCGTTGGGGTCAACATTGCAGGTCGCAGTGAGCCGGCCACCCTGGCCCAGCCAGTTACCATCCGGGAGATTGTGGGTGAGTGACCCCTGGCCCCTGACCTTGCTCTCCTAAGGGCCAAGTTGGTATCATCTGACCTGCCCTTCCTGTGTCATCCTTAGGGCCTCCCCAAGACAACCTCATCACCATTGGTCTCTCCATCCTTCAAATGTCCCCCCAGCCCAGTGTTGAGCTCCCTCCCTGTGTTTGTGCCCTCAGAGCAACCCAAAATCCGTCTTCCCCGCCATCTCCGCCAGACTTACATTCGTAAAGTGGGAGAACACCTCAACCTTGTCATCCCCTTCCAGGTACGTGAAGCTGGGGTCAGGGGTCAGGGATCAGCCCCTGCAGCAAGACCCCTCCACATTCGTGAAGCCCTGGCTGACCTCTCCCCACCCATCCTCTCCTCTCCAGGGAAAGCCTCGGCCCCAGGCAGTGTGGACGAAGGGTGGGGCGCCCTTGGACACCTCCCGAGTGCACGTGCGCACCAGCGACTTCGACACTGTGTTTTTTGTGCGCCAGGCAGCACGCTCTGACTCCGGGGAGTATGAGCTGAGCCTGCAGATCGAGAACATGAAGGACACGGCCACCATCCACATCCGGGTTGTGGGTGTGCAGCCGGGGCCGGCAGGGAGGAGGGGACCATGGGCCAGGGGGCAGGGGGGAATGGATGAGGCGGCAATGAGATGGGGGGTGGTAGAGGAGGAGAGGAGAGATGAGGATGGCCCAGGAGGGGAGGAAGTGAAGAGGGACTGGAATGGGGGAGAGTATGAGGTGGGAATGGGGCAAAAAGGTGACAAAACGGGAGTGGGGGAAAAGGCGTAAGAGAGGAGGTGAGGGCGGCGGGAGGGTATGAGCTGTACATTTAAGAACTCTTGTGCCGGCGTGGAACACTGCCCCCCACCCCCCACTTCCAGAAAAGGCAGGGCCGCCGGAGAACGTGATGGTGAAGGAGGTGTGGGGCACTAATGCTCTGGTGCAGTGGCAGCCCCCCAGAGACGATGGGAACAGTGAGATCACGGGGTACTTTGTCCAGAAAGCTGACAAGAAAACCATGGTGAGAGGACAGAGGGGCCCATGGTGGGGATGATGGGGTAGAAAATCTGCTAGGTCTTCAGAGCCAGTGCCGATGTTCCCATTTCACAGCCGGGGAGACTGAGGCCGAGAGATTGGGAGAACGGGCAGGGATGGGAGGGTAGCTTTTTGGTGAGATTTGCTGCGTGATGGGTTTTCTTTTTCTTTTTTATTATTGAGGTAAACTTCACATAACAAAATTAACCATTATAGGGGCCGGCCCGTGGCTCACTCGGGAGAGTGCGGTGCTGATGGCACCAAGGCCGTGGGTTTGGATCCCATATAGGGACGGCCGGTTCGCTCACTGGCTGAGCGTGGTGCTGACAACATGGTGCTGATGGCACCAAGGCCGTGGGTTTGGATCCCATATAGGGATGGCCGGTTTGCTCACTGGGTGAGTGAGGTGCTGACAACACCAAGTCAAGGGTTAAGATCCCCTTACCGGTCATCTTTTAGAAAAAAAAAAAAAAAATTAACCATTATAGGGCTGGCCAGTTAGCTCAGTTGGTTAGAGAGCAGCCTTGTACAACTGAGATCAAGGGTGTGGATCCCTGTACAGGCCAGCTGCCAAAAAACACACAAAACCCCAAATTAACCATTAACCATTGTAAAGTGAACAATTTGGCAACATTTAGTACCTTCCCAATGTTATGCAACCTCCACCTCTGTCTAGTTCCAAGACATTTTCTTTTCTTTTCTTTTTTTTTTTTTAAATGACCGGTAAGGGGATCTTAACCCTTGGCTTGGTGTTATCAGCACCGCACTCGCACGAGTGAGCCACGGGCCGGCCCTCCAAGACACTTTCATCACCACAAAGGAAACCCTGTACCCATTAGCAATCACCCCTCTTTCTCCCCTCAACTTAGCCCCTGGCAACCACCAATTTGCTCTCTGTCTCTGGATTTAGTTATTTTGGACATTTGGTATAAGTGGAATCATATAACATGTGACTTTTGTGTCTGGCTTCTTTCACTCGGCAGTGTCTTCAAAATCACCCATGTTGTAGCACGTGTCAGCACTTCATTCCTTTTATGGCCAATAATATTCCATTGTCTGGATCAGCCACATTTGTTTATCTGTCCATCTGTGCATGGGCCCTTGGGTTGGTTTGGACTGTTGGAGACTGCGAACAGGGCTGCGATGAGGGATGGGTTTTCTTAACACTTGGGTGAGCTTTTCTCACCCCCGCCCTTCTTGTGTCTGTGTCCACTTGTGTGTGTTCCCCTTGCATCCGTGACTGGCCTGATCCCTCTCCGTCCCCTCACCAGGAGTGGTTCAACGTCTATGAACACAACCGGCACACCTGCTGTACTGTGTCTGACCTCATCGTGGGCAACGAATACTACTTCCGAGTTTTCAGTGAGAATATCTGTGGGCTCAGCGACTCACCTGGTGTCTCCAAGAACACAGCCCGCATCCTCAAGACAGGTGCCACCATACCCCTCCACAGGGCCCAGTCCCACCCCGACCAGCGCCTTGGCCGGGGTCTAGCCTGGACTCAATGTTGATGGCAACAGACGATGGGGGAGAGGTGGCTGGAGTTTGTTCCCTGGTTGGGGTCAGGGAACAATCTAGATCAGTCACCTTACAGGTCTGTCTCCTCTTACCAGGAATCACTTTCAAACCGCTTGAGTACAAAGAACATGATTTCCGAATGGCTCCCAAGTTCTTGACGCCTCTAGTAGATCGGGTGGTCGTGGCTGGATATGCTGCTGCTCTCAACTGCGCCGTTAGAGGCGACCCGAAGGTGCGGGGGACAGGGAGCCCAGATCTGTGTATATCAGGCAGGTGGAGCCCTGAAGGAAACCTTCAACACAATGAAGCCCCACTCCCCCTCACACCAGCCCTTCTTCGAGTTCTCTGTTTCATGGGATTTGCTCACTTTGAACCCACTTTGTTTTTCTCCTCCTCTGGCCAGAGCCCAAGTCTCAGACAATTACATTCTGCCTTCCTGCCCTTTTCTCTGCCTCACGATTGCCAGGTGACAGCTCATCTTGGCAGCCTGAGGAGAGGGTCATTCAGTCTCTCTTGTCCTATCTAAGGATAAGGTTTCTGTTTTTCTTGAAAACAGAAACCACTGGGGGTAAGGGTGGCCTAGATTTTCACAACTCCTCAGGGTCTTCCTGCTCCATCCTGGTTTCCAGACTGCTGTTTGGGAATATGGACAGGACACTTGCATCCTTGAGCTCCAGGGACTCATGTAGACCAAGAGTTCGCAAACTATAGCCTGTGAGCCAAATTTGCCTGCCACCTGTTACTCTCCATAAAGTTTATTGGAACATGGGCCATGCACATGTAAGTTTTGTCCATGGCTGCTTTTGCAGGGCAGCAGAGTTGAGTAGATGCAACAAACACCATAGGGCCCACAAAGCCTGAAATATTTACTGTCTGGCCCACAACAGGAAAAGTTTGCTGACTTCTGGTCTAGACTCCAGGTTTTTAGCTTCAGCCCCCTTTGTCTTTTTTTTTTTTTTAAAGATGACCGGTAAGGGGATCTCAACCCTTGGCTTGGTGTTGTCAGCACCACGCTCAGCCAGTGAGCGAACCGGCCATCCCTATGTGGGATCCGAACCCGTGGCCTTGGTGTTATCAGCACCGCACTCTACCGAGTGAGCCACGGGCCGGCCTCAGCCCCCTTTGGCATAGCATGGATTCATTAGTTCACCTTCTCCATCTCCATGCAACTGTTTTATTCACTAACTCTGCTGATTAATTCATTCTGCTCATTTATTCACCTACCAATTCATTCATTCATTTGTTCACCTATCAATTCACTCAGTTCATTCATTTACTCCATTTGTTTATTGACAACATTCATTCACTGACTCATTCACTTCATTTATTCTTTCTTTCTTTTTTTCCTTGATTATTCATTTCATTTTTTCTTTCAACAAAGCCAGTGCAAAGGTACTGAGGTCGGAGCCTGTCTAGTCTGCTTGAGGAACAGTGAGGCACCAGTATGGTTGGAGCAGAGGGAAGGAGGGAGAGGGTAATGTAAGGGCGGAGAAGTAATGGGGGCCAGATCCTGTAGGTCCTGTGGGCCACTGTGAGGAGTGAGCTCTTTATTCTGAGATCAGTGAGGAGCCCTCCCCATGACCCTATGAAGTAGGGATTATCAACCTGCTTTTACAGAAGAGGAGACTGAGGGTCAGAGAGTGGAAGTGACTAGTACAAGGATATCCAGCAAGGAGGTGGCACAGCCAGGATGAGAATCTAAACCTGCCTCCAGAGCCTCATTTTGCCACCACTGGGGACCCTGAGTTGGCCTCCTCTCCCGCTTCCTTCAACAGCCCAAGGTGGTCTGGATGAAGAACAAGATGGAAATCCGTGAAGATCCCAAGTTCCTGATGACCAACTACCAGGGAGTCCTGACACTGAATATTCGCCGCCCCTCACCCTTCGACGCTGGGACTTACTCCTGTTGGGCCTTCAATGAGCTGGGGGAGGCACTGGCCGAGTGCAAGCTGGATGTCCGAGGTGAGGATGTGGCAGTCTCCAACCCTGGCTGACCCCTCATTTGGGCCCTTTGCAAACTTAACTGGAGGCCCCCGTGCTGAGGTTGCTGAAATCTAGAGAGGAGTTGGACCTGGGCCGTCTGGGAGGATGATTGGGAAGCCAGGTTCAGATCCACACAGGAATGATGCTGTGATATTTGCTGTCATGAAGGCAGCACAGGTTGGAGTTGGTCCAGCCTGGGCAGGAGGAGTCTCAGAAGGTTTTTCCAAAGGAGCTGAAGGACAAATAATAGGCAAGTGAATGAGGTGGAGATGAGCGAGGTAGAGATGAGCTTAGCAAATGTCCCCAAGGCCTTCAGTGGGCGTGTCCCTACTTGGGGAGATGGGTTGACACAGAGTTGAAACAAACATGGGCTATGGCAGAGGACCAGGTGCTGTGGGAGCCCAGAAAAATGCTTCCCCCACCACAGCCTGTCCCCAAGCTCTGTCCATCCTGCCCCTGCCTCTCCTTGTCCCATCCCCTCTTCTGTGTCCCACCGCTCCAGTCTCATCCTCTTCCTCCTGGATCGGTCCAGCCTCTGCCTTGTCCTCCCTTTCTCCAGTCTGTCCTTCCTGTCCATCCCCAAACAGCCTTAGCAGGGTCTCCATATCCAGAGTTGACCTGCTCCTCCTGCTTACAGCCCGCCCAGGGCTCCCAGAGCCCCTGGAGCCCCTCAGCCTGGTGTTCGTGGTCCTGCATCCGGCTCCCCTCCCCCTGCCAGCCTCATGTACTCATTCTCCCCCATACTATGTTCCAGCCATACCAAGGTGCTGGTGGGTGCACAAACTGTCCAGGCTTCCTCCTGTCACTGGGACTTTGCATGTGCCGTTCCCTGTACTTGGGGTGCTCTTCCTCACCTCCTTTGCCTTGGGCTCCAGTCCATCAAACGGCGGCCAGTCAAGGCTCAGTGAGGAGGCCACTAACCATGTCCCACAGACCAGGCTGATGTTAATTCTGGCTTCCTGAGTCCCTCCTCAACTGTCACTTCTGACCAACTCAGACTTCCCCTGGCCCTGACGATAGCACAGCAGACAGAAGTGGCTGCAGACTCATAACAAGGGCTCACGGAGGACGCTTTCCAGACCCGAGTGTCTGTCATTCTAGATCACTGCTTTTCCAGGCTGACCCTAATATTATGCTGTCACCTTTAGCACCACATGCTGACTTCAGGATTCCAGCGACCACTCGTAGCCAGCAGCTGCTCAGAACATGCCAGTTTAGGGTTCAAAATGACAGGAATCACAGGCACCATGACATTGGATTGGCTGCCATATGGTGGTCAGGGACAGGTGCTAGATGATGACAAGTCATCGTGCTCCTCCCCTGCTGGTCATGTGGATACAGCAGGCAGAGGGGCCTGGGTGGGCCCAGCTTACCCGCTCTTTCCTCATTTCCCCCACAGTGCTGCAGTGAAACTCTGGCTCCCACCTGTCAAGACAATGCTGCTGAGTCCTAACCCCAATCCCAGACCTGCCCAAACCATGTTCTCCTTTCCCAAGTTATCACTGAGAACAAAATAGTGTTGTCTGGGGCTCTCATGTGTCTGTCCTTCTTGAATCTGTAGCTCCGCCTTCCTTCTCGCATTGGGGGTTAGACACATTGGGGCAGTCACGTTGGAATGGCAGTCATGATAAAACAGATCACATTGAGGTGGCCATCTTGGAACATCTACTTTTGTGAGGCAACCACGTTAACATAGCGACTACAGAGAGTCAAAGGTGAACCCAGGGCCATGGAGGCAGCTGGAGGCAGCCCTCTCAGACTAGCTACTAAGAGAGAGAGGAGGCAGGCTGGTCGCAATGGCAACTGCACTGTGTCAAAGACGAAGCAAAGGCTCGACTGAGAAGACTACTGAGGTAGCCGTGTCGCAACAGTGAGTACTAGGTCTTGGTGGTGGCCCAAGGAGCTAAACATGGCGAACTGCAGATTGTATTGAGGCAGCCATACTGGAAAAGCTACTTCTGGGAGGCAGCCGTGTTGAATTGGTGATGGCGACGAATCTGGTCATGACCAGGTTGTTGGGTCTTAAGTGGCAGATGTTTATTAACTTTAACAATTCATCTGCCAGGCCCTGAGGTAAGGTGCTTTGAACTTTGGTCCTTTGGTGACTTCAAAGGATGTTAGAAGAATCAGAGTCCCCAGAGTTCGGAGGCCAGTGGGTCAAGTCTGGCTTCTGTGGCTTGATGCTGGGTACAAGAGAGGGTTTGTCTCAGAGGCTTTGACCTGCAGACGTATCTACAGTTTGAGAGTGGGGAGAAGGGACTTTGTGCTTACTGGGAAGCCATGTTGGAATGGCAACCACCACAAGGAGCCAGGTGTCTCCAGAGGAACAGGCTCCACAGATGCCCCCATCTTCTGGGACTGTCGCCCTTCCCCTCCCTCCAGGACTTAAGAGGAACTGGACATGTGGCCTGGCTGCCCCCGTCCCTTCAGGGTGCACATTCCCTCTCCAGATCCCACTTTGGTAAGGGGAGAGAAGCTGGCGGGTGGGTCTGGATATGTTTCCAATTAGGAAACTATAGTCATCTTAGCTAGGGGTACCAAGGCCCTATAGGCCCTGCTGTCTTCTACCCACAAACTTCATACCACTCAAGGACTCAGGAGTCTAGGACCAGGTCACCTCCACTCTCAGACACAGTCATCCAGGCTCCCAGTCCCTCCCCCTCAGACACAGGAGTCCCGCCCCTCACCTCCTCCCACTCTAGCCGGATCTCCTCCTCTTCCTCTTCTTTCTCCTCCTCTTCCTCGTCGTCCTCTGGTGCTGAGTACTCCTGTGTGAAAGGCACAGCTCCCTGGGCCGAATTGAAGTGCAGGCGGTAGAGCAGCCTCACCCACTGGCCGAACTCGCGATCGCGAGTCTCGGACGGGGCCCGCAACTGCAAGTAGAAGGCGCGGCCGGTGCAGAACTTGACCTTGAGCTGCCAGCGGCTTTCGTCGTGGACGAAGAGCTGGACAAACTGCAAGGGGAACAGCCTGGGCATGTGGAAGGGGCGGTCTCAGGTTTTAACTCTCCGTGAATCAACAGTCTTCCCTTCTCCAGGCGCCCTCAGGGTCTAGCCTCCCACATCTGTCCACTCCTCCCTCTGCCCGCAAGGAATCTTTTTTTGCCTCCATTGCCTCTTGTATATAAATCCATCCCCAACTTTCTTCCAACCCAAAATCACCTTTTTGTCTCCTGTTGGTCCTAACTCCATAACTCCAGACTCAAATACACAACTGCCTACTTGAAATTTCCATTTGGATGTCGGATCGATCATCAGACCACAACGTGTCCAACAACCAAATTCCTGATCTCCTTTCCTGCAAACCTACTCTTCTTCTTTGCCACCTTAACTACATTCCCGCCTCCAACTCCCCACCCTCTTCCCTTGCTAGGTCAAAAGTCTTGGAGTCGCCCCTGACTTGACGTTCTTTCTCACACTCTCAACCAATCTTGCCATCAAATCCTGGTGGCTCCACCTTTAAAATGTATCCACAATCCAACCACTTCTGACTCCCTCAACAGCCATCCTGGGGTCCAGCCACAGTAATTTCCCGCCTGGGTTTCTGGCCTCAGCCCTTGTTTCCTAGTCTGTTTTCCATGAGGCCGTCAGAGGGCGCCAGTTAATGCCTTACTTAGCCCCCCGTTCTGCTGCGGCTGCCGGCTCACGCGGTGAAAACAAGGTCCTGCAGGATCTGCCCCTTTGTTCCCTCTCTGACCTCAGCTGCTGTACCTCCAGCCACACTAGCCTTCTCACTGTTCCATGAACACACCAGGCTCAGTTCTACCCCAGGACCTTTGCACAGGCTGTTCCCTCCACTCGGTACACCCTGTTTCTCCAGCCATCCCCGTGACTCACTCCCTTAATCTCCCTCACGTCTTTCTCAGGAGGTTCCTTCCCAGGGAGGTTTCCTCTTGGCCTATTTACAACCACATCCACCCTTGCAGACCTCCCCATGTCCCTGCCCTGTCTTATAGATCCTTACACCATCTGACAAACTGCCATGTGTTCTGTCTGCCTTCCCAGTAGAATGTGAGCTCCTTGAGGGCAAGGATTCTGGCCTGGTTTTGTCCAATGCTGTTTCCCTAGTACGCAGAGCTGACATATAGCAGGTGCTCAATGGATGTTTATTGAGTATTTGAATAAATGAATTGCTCAGGCCCCCACCCTGATTCAAAGGTCCAACAAGGCAGAGGAGGAAACAGTCGAGAAGGTGGGTAACTTGGCCCAGGTCAGGAACATTCCTTCATGTTCTTAACCAAACATTGGGTAGCCACATATTCCCCTCTGGCCTAGCACTATTACTTCTAAGAACTGGTCTTACAGATACCCTCACATCTGTCCACAGACTTACTCACATGGATAACCCCCGCCACATTGGCTATAACCCCAAGACACCAGAGGAAATTTCAGTGTCCCTCAGTGGGTGACTTATTATGTCCCCTGCCATATGGAAGAACATCGGCTGACATATGTGGAGTGCTTACTCTGTTCCAGGTGCTGTTCCAAGTGCTTTACAAACATTTACTCAGTTTATCCCCTGATAACCCTGGAAGGTGCGCTCTCTTATTTCCACTTCCCAGATGAGGAAACTGAGGCACGGACAGGTAGGGAAGTTGGCCAAAGCCAGTGAAGAAGGGAGTCCAGGATTTGAACACAGGCCATCTGAAGGCAGACATTGTTCAAGGACATCCCTTCTACACTGTAACAGCAACAGGCTGGACACAAGCTTGGTGCTCAAGGGGGCAGAGCTTGTTCAATTGCGTACATCCAAAAAAAAAAAATGTGGTGGCTGGTACTATGCCGACATAAAATGGGTACTGACATAGTGCTGATGAGGGAGTGAGCACAGCAGAAAGGGAGCATACAGCATGTGTCTACTGCTGTTTTTAAAGAAAGAGTGAACACATATATGCCTGTTGGTAACTTGTTACAGAACAGCTCAGAGCTGTAAGTTGGTTAGACAGAAGCAAGATAGGTTGGGCTGGCTAGTTGGCTCGCTTGTTTAGAGTGCCATGTTTGTTTTGTATTTTGGAGTATGTTTGTTTTCCCACGTGTTTGTATTACTCTTTCAATGAAAAACTAAGGCCAAAACAGGCAGCATGTAGCATGGCATGGGAGCTCAAGAATCATGAGATCAGCCATCACGAGGAGCCCGAGGTTCCAATCTCAGACCATCCTTGACCTACTGTGGGACCCTGGGCAAACTGGCTTTCCTCTCTGAGCCTCAGTTTATCTCTTTGGAGGATGGGGCTAAGGAGCCCCACCATGTGAGGATATGAGGTCTGAGATGAGATCATGTGAATGGCCCAGGGGGCACCTGGCATGCAGTAGACACTGCACAAATGGTCATTTTCCTACCTCTACCAGGGTATAGCTGAAGAGTGTTCCCTCATGTCTGTCTAGACCCTGGTTTTTGGCCCCTGTGGATTGCCCTGTCCTTATTCTGCTGGGTGGACAGCAGCCCAGACAGGGCTGGCAGCCACCCGAGGCTACTTGCCCTAGGGGTGGTCTGGATGACAGCAGGTGCTCCTGGGGGCTTGGGTGCCCAGAGCTGAGAAGGAGGAGTTCTAGGTTTAGGTGGGGGCAGTCACCCGAAGAGCTCCAGATGTCCATTTTCCTTGGAAGGGCCCGCCAGCAGCAACAGATCAGGGAGTTCCAGGGCTGGACTGGAGGCTGCCACCCCCATTGTGACTTTGTTGGCGACTTCTCCTAACTGGGTTACCTGGGGCCAGAGGTCAGAGACAGGATAGAAGGGGGGCAGAATTGGGAAGAGATCAGAGGTCAGGAATCTTGGTAGGGTAAAAAGATCATGGACCTGGTGAAATGAAAATCAGTTTGGGGGTCAGATATCTTGTGATTAAAGGTCAAGAATCATGGGCGTCAAGTCAGGGAAACTGAGGCAAGGGAATCAGCGGCCAGGATTCACAGGTATGCTAAAAGGCTAGAGGTATGGGTGGGGGGAGGAGTGGTCAGAGGTCACATAGGAGGAGTTGGAGGTCAGGGATCCCATGAGATGGACGTTATGGGAAAATGGTCAGAAGGAGGGACAGCAGGGGTTTTCCAAGTCAGGTCGAGGGTCAGGCCGAAGCTCTGGAGCTGAGGGTGTCTTGGGGGCTTCACACCTGCACGAAGTTGCTCTCAAAGATGGGGAAGTCTCGCAGCTCGTCGAACTCGCCGCTCAGTAGGTGGCGTTGAAGCCGTCCGGGACGGCCTGTGGGAGAGGCAGGAACCAGGGGGTGTTCTAGCGGGCGAAGTTAGGGGGTCTATCCCAGGAGGCTGGGCCCAGCCCCCCCAGAAGGTGGAGCAGGGGGCAGCTCCGCGTTGAGAAAAGGGGGATCAGATGCTTCCAAATTGCCGGCCCCATCCCTCACCTGGTTCCCTCACCGGGTCCAACCCCTCTTGGCCGGGCTCCTCCTCTCACCTGCCGTCCCACCGGGTCCCGCCTCACCTGCTCCACCGAGGGCTGGCTTAGGCACATTCCTCCGCTTCATCGCAACGCCCCTACCGCTTGTGGGAGTGGAGGGAGGAGCCGGGGGAGAAAACAAGGCAGCGGGGCCAATGGCTATGTCACGTCACAATATCGGGGACCGGGTAGAATGACGTCACCGAGAAGAGAACGCCTAAGAGGGTGACGTCACTGGAGGGGGGGGACAGCCCCGCGGACGTCCAGCCCCGATTGCGGAGGGCGCCAATGCGCAGGCGCGAGGAGCCGGCGCAGGCGTACGGGCGTCGGGACGCGGCCGGTCACTCCCAGCGTGCTCCGCGGCGCGCTGCTCACGGCCGCCCTTTGGCTGGTGGGACGGGGTCGAGATGGCGGAGGCCGTCGCTGGGGCAACTCGGCTCCTCCTGCTCTTGCTGATGGCGGCAGCAGCGCCCAGCCGGGCCCGGGGCAGC